AGTGAAATTTTAAGTGTTGGAAATTTTTAATATAATTGGGATGTTTGGTGAATTTTTGGTAGAGCTGAGTTGTGTTGGAGATGATTTGGTCATTAATTTGTTTTGACCTTGGTTTTATTTATTAGGATTTTGGCTCCCTTAAGCATAGCTTTACTCTTACATTTTCCCAAATATTTCCCACCTTTTACCCTAGCCTTACATTACAAGCTTTGAAGACCTTCTGACCTTTGTGCATAGAGTTGTGTGAATGTGAAATTAGTTGTTTTCCAATGCAAAGAATGATTTGATATATTTCGAGTCGACTGCTAGGTTGAGTGCTTGTTTTCTTAAAACACACGAGTGCGTGAGCTTGGGAGGGCATTGTTCACATTTAAAGGAGTTGGATGGAGAGCGACCGAGTATATCTTTTACTCGCCACATAAATGAGAGTTGAGTGTGTGAACACTAGTCTTGAATTCTATATGCTCTTGTGGTTTGCTCTATTTGACCATTGTCAGACAGGATGAGTAGTTAGATGGATTTGATTGGTTGACTTTGATGCATAACTGTCGAGTTTACCTTTAATCGTATTTATTGATTTGAGTTACTTTTGGGGTGAAGTATTGATTTATTTATTCATTGCTTTGCTTAGGGACAAGCAAAGGTTTAGCTTGGGGGAATTTGATATACGTGTTTTATACAATGGTTTTCCCCGGTTTGATTGCATGATTTTACATGGTTTTGAGCTCTACGGAGCTATTTCTTGCTAACAATCTCTTCTTTAGTGTATTCGATTGTTTTAGTAAGCTTTTCAGGAATATGAAGCGTTTCTAGGCAATTGGACGTGTTTTTAGTAGATTCGGAAGAGTTGATAGCCAAGAACTGAAATTTATGTGGAATGCCCGATCGGGCAGGCTTCGCCCGGTCAGACCGGGCGATGAAGAAATCAAGTTATGAGATGCAATTTTGGAAACGTGTTACGCGCGCCCGACCGGGCGAGGTTCGCCCGGTCAGACCGGGCAAAGAAGGAAAACTGTCGTATTTTACGCAGCCTTCCTCCGCCCGATCGGGCGAGGTCCGCCCGGTCAGACCGGGCAAAGCTCAAGAACGCGTATTTTCTTATTTTTCCGAAATATTATCTTTTGGGGGTATAAATACCCTTTTGTAATTAACTTTTAGACAGTTAGTTTTTCATTAGTTTTCTCCTTAAGCCCTAGAAAACTCTCAAGAACCCTAGTTTTATTTTCTTAAGCAATTTCAATCTTTAATCCTAGTTTTATTAATTGTTCCTCAAGAATTCAAGATCATCAATTGAAGTATTTGGTATTTCTTACTTTCCATCTCTTTTATTTATTTTATAGTTCTTTAATTATGTGTTCTCTATTAGATCTTGTTTTTGATTTAATTATGATTTGTGAGTAGTTTCCTTAATCCGGGATCTTGCTAAGCCCGATTATGATTGATGTATAAAGTAGATCTTTAAATTCCCCAATAATAATCCCAATTGACATGCTTAATTGATTGTGTTTATGCCAATACTAGATTAGGGATAATTAGTATTGTTATCATCCCTTTGTTCTTATTGCAACGGAAGTTGGGTATTAACGGGATTAGGTTATTTCAATTAAGGGTTTGAAGATCATCACGGAAGTAGATGATTGAATAATTAGGAATCTAGGCATGGTGTTTAATGTCCCTTATTCGCTTGATTCCACGGAAGTAGGCTTGATAGTTAATTTGGGAAGCCATTGATAACTCGGAAGAGACCTTTGGTATTATTATTAGGGATTGCTTTTCTTCTTGTCAATTGATTTATATATTGGGGGTAGATTTATTAGTTTATCAATCATAATCGTGGTGATGCTTGATCTTGGATGCTTTAGTTTATTGATTAATATTTCCTCTAGTTAATTGTGTTATTTAATAAATTAGTTGATTATTATCATCCATTATTGATTGGTCACGTGCTTAGTGATTAATTGAGTCTGATTAATTGAATGAACCATAGTCTCTTGGGATTCGATCCTTACTTGCCCTACTACACAGTTAGAAGGAATAGTTAGGTTATTTTTGTTAGGTACGCGATAAGCCTATCAGTGTGCAATCTATGAAAAAGCGTATGTTGATCACATAGTAAGAATCAAATCAGACCACTCCCCTATATTACTCCATTACAATGACACCTTGATAAAAAAGAAGAAGAAAAGGAAAAAAGACTTCAAATTCGAGTCTTTTTGGATAGCTGATGAAGGGTGTGAGGATATTATCAGGGATGCTTGGGAGGGGAGTGTGTGCGTAGATGTGTTGGGGAAAGTGGCAGTGGTGGGGAAGAAGTTGCAAAGCTGGAGTGATGCGCATTTTAATAACTTGAGAAAGCAAATTGCCGAGACTGAATATGCACTGCAGAATGCTCAAGAGCAGCCAATTGACGAAGAGAGTTGTAGAAAATGTATTGAGCTTGAAGAGAGGCTGGACGAACTGGAGGGGAAACAAGAGGCCTACTGGCACGTCAGGTCGAGAGTGGCGGAAATCAAAGAAGGCGACAGAAACACGAAGTATTTCCATCACAAAGCTTCACAACGTCAACGAAAGAATACGATCAGTGGCCTTTGGGATAAGGATGGGGTATGGAGAAGTGATGATCAGGAAATAACGACAATAATCTGTGATTATTTTGAAGGCATTTTCGCATCATCAGAACCTACAAATAACGAGCTTGAACAAGTTATGAGCAAGGTTCCAGCAAAAATCTCACAAGCCATGAATGACAAACTAATGAGACGCTACACAAAGGAAGACGTCTATACGGCCCTTAAACAGATGCACCCCAGTAAAGCCCCAGGTTCGGATGGTATGCATGCTATTTTCTATCAACGTTTTTGGCATATTGTAGGCAATGATGTAGCAAATTTTGTAATTGGGATTTTGAATGGAAATGGCCTGTCGGAAAATGTGAATAAAACTAATATAGCCCTCATTCCGAAGGTTAGTGAGCCAAAATTTGCTGTAGATTTTCGCCCTATTAGCCTCTGTAACGTGATTTATAAATTGGTCTCAAAATTTCTAGTGATTAGACTGAAAGATGTTTTAACAGAGATAATTTCTGAAAACCAAAGTGCTTTTGTTCCGGGCCGATTGATCACTGATAATGCTCTTATTGCCCTGGAGTGTTTCCATTCTATGAAGAAGAGAAGCAGGGGCCGGAAAGGTCACATTGCAATGAAGCTAAACATGAGCAAGGCCTATGATCGAGTCGAATGGGGCTTTTTACGGCAATAACTTTTGAAGATGGGGTTTGATGGGAGGTGGGTAAACTTAGTGATGACGCTTGTCTCTACGGTAAAATACTCCTTCGTCATAAATGGTGAAGTCTGTGGTGCGGTGACCCCTTCCCGTGGATTACGTCAAGGTGACCCTCTATCTCCTTACCTTTTTATTATTGTGGCTGACGCTTTCTCTCATATGATTCAGAGTAAGGTTGCAAATAAGGAAATTCATGGCGTGAAAGCCAGCAGGAATGGTCCAGAAATCTCTCATCTTCTGTTTGCAGATGACAGTCTCCTCTTTACTAGAGAAAATCGACAGGAATGCTCAAACATTGTTGATATTCTCAACCAGTATGAAGCAGCATCGGGGCAAAAAATTAATTATGAGAAGTCGGAAGTTTCTTTCAATAGAGGGGTTCGAACTGAGCAACAAGAAGAGATTTTGGGGATTCTGAAAATGAAACTGGTTGATCGTCATGAAAAATACCTTGGTATTCCGAATATTTTGGGGAGGTCGAAAAGGAGTATTTTTGAAGCAATTTTAGATTGAGTGTGGAAGAAGTTGCAGGGGTGAAAGGAAAAACTGTTATCTCAAGCTGGGAAAGAAGTTCTATTGAAGTCCGTGATCCAGGCGATTCCTACTTACCTCATGGGAGTCTACAAATTTCCCACGGAGGTAATTAGGAAAATTCACTCGGCTATGGCTAATTTCTGGTGGGGCCAAAGCGTAGGGCGAAGACGTATACATTGGAAGAGCTGGGATTCAATGTACACCCTCAAATGCTTAGGAGGGATGGGGTTTCGGGACATGGAGGTATTCAATGTAGCCCTCCTTGGTATACAGGCGTGGAGGATGATGACAAAAAATACCTCTCTCCTAAGCCGAGTGATGAAGGCAAAATACTACGATAACTCGGACTTCCTAAGCTCCTATCTTGGTCATGGAGGCAGTTTCTCTTGGAAAAGTATATGGGGATCAAAGGCTCTAGTAAAAGAAGGGGTTCTATGGCGAGTAGGGAACGGAAGCAGCATTAATATTTGGACGGAACCATGGGTCTGTGATGATGAGGGCAGATTTGCTACAAGCACGCCTACACCGGAGCTAAACACAGTAAGTGACCTTATCAATTTTGAGAACATGACGTGGGATTTTGATTTAATCAAAGCCCACTTCAATGAAAGGGATGTAAAGAGAATTCTTGAAATCCCTCTTAGCTCAAGAACTCCTCCCGACGAAGTGACATGGGCTTTCTCAAAGGATGGTGTTTATAGCGTCAAAACAACCTATATGCTTGGCAAGGGCTGCGACCTTGACGATTTCCATCGTGCTTGGGTAGATATGTGGAAAGAAAATGTGTTCCCAAAAACACGAAATTTTTTATGGAGGCTATGTACTAATACAATCCCTGTACGTTGGCTCTTGAAGCACCGCCATTTGGTGGAGGAAGATCTGTGTCCTTGGTGTAATAGTGAATCTGAAACTTGGCAACGCGCTTTCTTTAAGTGTAAGCGCATTGAAGACCTATGGTACAGGATGGGTTGTGCTGAAATGCAAGAAAAGGTGGACTCCCTATCACCTTGTGACCTTATTGAAAGCTGGAAGAATGTGGCAGAGGATGTAAAACAGCGTGGCATGCTTCTGTTGTGGGGAAATGGCAGGAAAGAAATGCAAAGATCTTCCAAGGCAGGGACTCCCCCATAGAAGTCCTTATTGCTCGTGTCCTAAGATGGGTAGAGGAGAACTCAGAAGCATCAATGGCCAGGAGAAATGCTGCCGTAGCTACATCGTGCTCCAGGCCAAAAAGATGGCTCCCTCCGCCCTGTGGAACTATCAAAATCAATACAGATGTTTCCCTCTTGAATGATGGATGGGTAGGTCTGGGTGTTGTTGCTAGAGATGATCAAGGGGTTGTCCTATTTGCTGCAACGAGAAGGATTAGAGCATGGTGGTCAATAGAAGTAGCTGAAGCAAAGGCAATTGTATGGGCTATACGATTAGGCCTGAGATATGGCTGCACCAACGCAATCATCGAATCTGATTGCCAAACCATCATCTCAAGACTCTCGAAGGAAGCACACTATAACACTGAGCTAGATTTGGTGTTGGGCGACGCTATGGCACAGAGCACTTCTTTTGACAGGCTTCAACGGAGCCATGTTAGGAGGGACGGCAACACAATGGCACACAACCTTGCAAACTTCTTTCCTTCTGATTTTGAGCAAATTTGGGAAAATCATGTTCCCCCAAATGTAACCCCGTATGTAATTATGGATGCTTTGGTTAATTAATAAATTTTTTGCTCCCCGTCAAAAAAAAAATACTCTCTTCACCATCCTGATTTGATGTTTGCTTCAAAAAAAAAAAACATATTGACAATTATAAATTTAAGCCAAAAGAAAAATATTCTTTACATAATTTGTGACATATGGAGTATTTTTTATTTTTGGGAAAGACATATTATGTATACTACGTTTATTAGAACAAGATCATATATATATTTTTTTTAATTATGTGATGGAAGCTACATATATATCAAATCAATAAATGATACTTTTGTTATTTCCTTGAATAATTTATTATTAGAATTTTTATCAATCAATAATCGATAATTACTATGGATACTTCAATAATACTTGCCAAGAATGACACATGTTGATTACTCTTAATGTGATTTTTTTCCTGTCATTTTTGTTGTTTTCAGCATTCAATTGATATGAGTATAAGGCCCCGTTCACTTCACCTTATTTTTGCTGAACTGAAATTATTTTTACTGAACTGAAATTATTTTTATTGAACTTAAATTATTTTTACTGAACTGAAATTAATTTTACTGAACTGAAATTATTTTTGCTAAACTGAAATTATTTTTACTGATTTTCTATTATATTTCTTCTATAAGTTTACTGATTTTTACTAAACTGAAATTATTTTTACTGAACTAAAATTATTTTTGCTGAACTGAAGTAATTTTTACCGAACTGAATATTTTTTTTTAAGGTGAAATGAACAAGGCCTAACATATGAAAGTTGAAAATTTTAATATAATGTTAATTTAAAAAATAGTCATTGAAAATTATTGTGCATGACACGAAACCTAAGCTAGTAAATACAAAAACCAGTCATATGAAATATGTTGGTTGTCTCAATATGTAGTAGTAATAACACCTTTTTATAATTGTGTTAATGCGTAATTATTGATATGGATGGTGAAAGAAATGAAATAAGACCATGTAAAATGAAATAAGCATCACCATATGGGACAGAAACAAATCCAATAATGTTTTTATGAACACAAATTCTCCAAAAAGGCTAGTGTACTTTAATTTATTGTAAGACGGGTAAAAGTTATTATAAAAGTATTTAAATACTCTTTATACTACAAAAGTTATTATTATTCTAATAATAAATTTTATGTTACAAAAAATTTAGGAAATTTTGCATAAAACCACCTTTTAAATCTTTTTTTTTTTGCATATAACCACCTTTTTAAACAAAATGTTGCAAAAGGCCACCAATTTTAAAATTTTGTTGCAACTTACCACTTTTTTAGCCAAACCCACCAACTGTTCTACATTGAACTGGTGGTAAGTTGCAACAAAATTTTTAAAATTGGTGGTCTTTTGCAAAAAAAATTTTAAAAGGTGGTTATATGCAAAAGAACAAGATTTAAAAGGTGGTTATATGCAAAATTTAATGTATTAAATTAATCATATTAGCCTTTGTAGTATATAATCATGAATCTATAAGAAATTACACATTAAAATAAAATTCAAACCAACAACAAATTAAAAACTACTCTTTAAGTGGTTAAAGTTACCATAAAAATAGTTAAAATTACCTTCAAACGGATCGTTTTACAATAAAATTAACGTACACCCGCCTTATACAAGACTTATTATTTTATGAATGCTTTTATGGTGCAATTTTGAGATTTGGCCGGTCAACATCAAAAATAAACTATTTCGAATATTCACCAAAACACTCTCTAATGAGGACAACATTTTATATATACTCATCCACATTTTCCCCTAAAATAATGAAACTAAACCGGTATATATAGATTTTAGTTCAACTTATTTTTACTTATTTCAAAAATAATAGGTTCAGATCAGATCAGATCAGAAAAAATAAGTTCAGATCAGAACATCGTTTTATGTGCGATTTTTTATCGCTAAATATTCTAATTTCGTAATGAAAAAAAATTGTGAAAATTACATATTAATAAACTACACATTATTACTAATCTAACAAGATCCCACTTGATATATTTTTTCCTTATAGATTATCATACACTTAAGGTCAAAGTTTGGTCAAATCAGACAATCAGATCAGATCAGTAAAAATAAGGTGAACCAAACAAGGCCTAACTCTGAAATTTCCTCGTTGACAAAGAGGGGTAAAATCAAGTAAATTTAGGAAGAAAGGTTTGCATTCTCACCAGAAACGTTCTTTAACAGAATTAACATCCATTAGCCACTGCTACTATCAAAACCATATGCTAAGTTTACTTATAAGTCAAAGATTGATCTGTATATTGGAGCAAAAGGTATATGGTGCACGTTGCTACACAAGAATTAAAAACTCGCCAGGCGGAGATATTGCAGGTTTACTGTAAATACAAAAACTTCAATCACAAAAACTAAGCTAGCAACGACGAGCAGGCCTCAATATTGTACCAAAACAACACATTATACATCATCCAGTAAAACTACAGAAATCCACTTTACTAACAGCATAACAAAGCAAAAATGTATTGACTACAACAATTCAGCATCCAACTCTCGCTGAGTCAAATCATTAAATGCTGGATCAGCATTTTGAGTCAGATCCTAAAATCCCAATCCACGAAGATTTAGTAAATCCCGATCTAACACAATAGAAAAAAAATGAGTTACTATCTTCAGAGCAAAAACTATACAGTGTATGTTTTGCATCTCCCTTGCTACTATCTACTGCATGGTGAACACAGGCTGATAAATCTGGTCACCATACTTTGTTAGAGACATTGAACACAAAAGTGTTCAGTTCTTGCTATAAGAAGTTCAACAAAAACAACATCAACAGCAAGAACGCAAAGCCATTAATAAGAATCTTGACCAGAAGCAACTCTTTCCAGATAGCTTTTACACATTGCAATAACAGGTACAAAAAATTTCAGCCATGTCTAGAGGAAAATCTACTTTCCAACGTCTTTTAACAGCAACTGCTTAACCAGCAAGAGAATCTGTCAGCAAAATGGACCAACATTATGAGCAAATTCAATAAAATGGACATTTAAAAATAAAAGAAAGCACCTACTAGGCCACTAAGGGTCACCAAGATGGCAATATGTCGACAATATTAGCGACTATGAAACCCAGATTTCACATTTTTGGATAAACTGCAGCAAATACAACAGCTTGAATTCAGAAAATTAAGAGCTTCTCCCCTCAACAAAACAAGGAGCAGTGTGCAAAACAAAAAGCTGAAACTGAACATAATGATAAAAAAGAGAAGCATTCTCTAAAGCATACAAAGAAGGGGAATTGAAAATGTGAATGGCAATGCTATACACATTATAATAACTTTTGACTGTCAAGTTACTAGAATGTGCCATAAAAACTGGACCACCGGGAGAAACAGGTTAACAAAATTTTGATGTTGATCAAATAATTGAACATTTCAAACAAAATGGAAAGCTCGAGCAAGTGATAAACAATGAGCCATGATAACATGAGAACTTGAAAGAAGCCAAGTAAACAGCTCAGGCAAACCCATGGTACAGGAATTACAGATCTAGTAAAGGTCCTTCAAGAGAATAACAATTATCTTCTAAAAGAAACTCAGTGATGTCATGGGCTGGTGCAGTGATTTCTTAAATTAGAAACGGTGAATCATGATATTCTCTTTTCAGTTGCCCCAACTTATTAGCATTAATACTCTCTACAATATAATGACTAACTTTGAAAGATAGTACTGGACTACTGGTAATATTTAGTTACCATTTGACTTTTATTAATATAAGGGGTTAATGACTCATAAATTCACATGATTACCACATAGGCTTCAGCACTAAAATATCTACAAGAAATAGTAGTTACAAGACAAACAAATGGTATTAGTTTGTACTTTGCACTATTTGCTCTCATAAGTTCATATATGAGGTCAATTTGCAGGTGAAAAAAAAACTAGCCTCAGGATAGATTACCATTGGTACTAGAGTTAGACTCATCATGTGTTTTTTCAATTACGTGTTGTTCCATAAATTCACAAACTGTTCTCCAATAACGATCTCCACCAGTAAGCCATGTATCCATATGCATGCCAGTAGAGAATTCCACAAAAAAGCAATGTTTATTGTGGGCAGCTGCTTTGGCATACAGCATTTTCATGTGGATTGGAGGAACCATCTCATCTTGCAATCCAGAGATGAAAAGGATAGGCTGTTTAACCTGCAGATGAATTTAGAATATTATGTATTTTCATTAATAAAAATGCAGGCAGGAATCGGAAATCAAATAACTCAGGCATGAAAGAAAAAAAGAATGGGGAGCAAAGATATGCCTCAGCTTTACATCAATAAAGGTCCTCATTCTATGTACAAACACAACAAATATAGAAGAATACATTATTGGAGGGAACTTAAATGGATTAAGACTCAAGTTTTATTGTCAGATAAGGGGTGACAAACTAGGAGAACTAAAGAGTACACAGTACACAAATATTTCAAAGGATCAGGCACATGAAATGTCAAGAATTACTTCATCAATTTATTGAAGCAATTTCAAATAAGGGATGTTATAGATGAGGATAGGTAGATAGATAGAAATGAAAAGGAGCAGCTATGGCAACAAAAAAGAAATAGATAGTTCAACATGTTTGATCCAAACTTCTGTTTGCTCCAAAAAAATTCAAATCTTGGTGTTTTATTCTTACAATAATCCCTATTGACCAGGGACATACATTTCATGTGACTATTTTGAAAATCCATACTCCCGTTGTTCCAAGAAATTCTTCTCGTATGTCTTTTACGCGTCTCCAATGCACACCTTTGACCATTAATACCTTTGGTTCTTACCTAATAAATTTTATGACAATTTGATATTATGAAATTACCAACAAGATCCCACATGATGATGTTTTCTTATATACATCAATTTTTAAACTTTGACTACATGAATATTAAGTGGGAAGAACTTCACAGAACGAAGAGAGCATATCACTAGGCACCACTGTGAGATAAGACCTCCAAAGTTAGGATTCTCCTTAAGTCCTTAATTAATTAAATAATTCCAAAAGGCAAAATGATCTATCAGAGCATCAAAATTTCAAGGTCCTTATACGCTATTTATCATATAAACAACCATAAGATACAAGAAACCCAAACTTGGACAGAGCCGAAGACAAATTCATTGAGCAGATAAGACCAGCATATTTTCTAGAAATGAGTCAGCCAACACACAAGACTTTGGCAAAACTATCTTTTAAGAAGACAGGGGAAAAAATCAACACAAATCCAGCACACATAGCTTACCTGACCAATAACATCAATGGTACTCCAAGGGGAACGGACAACACAGTTCAGAATCTTAGGACCTTTGCCAGTGCTTCCGCCAATAAACCATTTCAAGAAAGGCAGTAAAACTCCAGCCATGTCCAAAATGGATGTGAACGTATTCTCCAAAATCAAGGCAGAAACCTGGAATAAGCAGATTGGAGTTTATAAATAATGGAGCAGTGAGCCTTTTGAGTATAAGGTTGCATGGTGAAGCAGAGTTAAGCTTTGTTTTTTTCACCTTATTTCCACTTGTCTAAACTTATTAGATCTTTGTTCTTTTCACTTATTTCCTCTTATCTAAACTTATTAGATCTTGGTTCTTTTCACTTATTTCCTCTTATCTAAAACTTATTAGACCTTATCTAAACTAATTTAAACTTATTTTTCCTTATCTAGACCTGACTCTTGATCTCATTATAATGTGAATTGAACATGGGTGAAAGAGAGTCAGTTGACCCTTCTTCAGAACATACGGAGTATTAAAGGTTGTTAATTTTATCTGAATAGTACACCTCGTTCGGAACTTTTACTTTCCTGAAAAAAAGATTGCAGATGGATAAAGGTCAAGGAGCAGAGTAGAAACTCAGTTGACTAGAGAAGGATTTGTAAGTGATCAGACACTGAAGTTCTCTTGCCCTGATCAGAAGAAATTACAAACTTGCAAAATAAATGTGGTAAAGTACAGTAACAGCTAACTGCTAACTGAATACTGACTACAGACAACTTCTCAGCTAAAATAAATATATTAGGAGATGAAGACCTTTCAAGAATTACAAAATTCAAAGGTGGGAATGATATTATCAAATGAGTTAATAAAAATAAGAGAGCTTGAGAAAATGAGCTAGTTTGATTGCCATAAAATTACATATTGCCAAACTTCCTGAATAATCATTCAAGTTGATGTTTGATGACCCTAATCAGGAATAATGTAGACGAGAGACTTCTTTGGGAATAGAAAATGTCACGAACATGAAAATAGGCTTACCCCGCCTTCAATACACCTTGGGTTAGCAGTTCCTAAATGTAGTATAAGATGAATTTCTAAAAATGCATCTTCCCTAATGTCAAATAAAAAAGTTAGGGTCAAGAAGCATATATATGGGAGCCAAATTCCCAAGAAGTGCAAATCTAAGAAGGAATTAATTCCTAGTGAAGCAAACAACAACAAAAAAAAAAAAAAAAAGAAAAGAAAAGAAAAAAGGAAAAAGAGAATTATGGGATGCAGAAGTGAAAATATATCTAGCCTCTCAAAACCCCACCAACCAAAGAGCCCTAAAAACAGAAATTTGGAACTCTCACCTTATGGGCTACTGGACAATCTGAAATAGACACCTTATCAAAAGAAGCAAAAGCCGAAGAAGAAGAAACTTAGTTGTAACAATGGGATCATGAACTGGTTGGGAGAAGGTAACAGTATATAAGAAAATTTTATTAAGATGCTTGAAAATTTGAAATGACAATTATTTTGGATAAAAGTGCGTTTAATTTGCACACAAATTTTAGAGAAAAAAATTTACATTATGTGTTGATAAATAATTGATACCTTATCAGGATTGTTTTTTGCAAGAACGGTTCCAACTGCTCCACCCAATGACCTCCCAAACACAACTATCTGGGACGTGTCTATATCAGTCCTTTGCATTAGATGATCCAATGCAGCCTAAAAAACAAGATATTTTCATCAAGAAACGGAATAAATCACTATAAAAAAGATTCAAAGTAGCAATAATTATTAAGTGAAGAAGCAAACCTGAGCATCTTTGGTGATTCCATGTTGAGAAGGAGAGCCATCACTAGCACCATAACTAGAAATCAAAACACAAACATCATTTTTATTATTAGGGCAAATTGTAAACATATATGCCACATACTACGTATTAAAAGGTGTCAGAGAATTCACTGGCAGCCAAAGGAACATACCCTCTGTAAGAAAGCATGAATACATTGCACTGCAACTTCTGAATCATAATCCGAACCATTTCAAGGCGATGAGCAATATCTACACAAAAGAAAGTTAAGGCCTTCAAACAATAACAGCAGCGTCAAAGAAGTACAAATATTAATCAAGGCCAATTTCCAGATTTGTCACATGAAAGTGTCTGAATGCAGCAATAAAAGAAGGATACTTCCAGCATTTTCTTGAAAAAACAGAATAGTTGGACCTGAAATCAGTAGCAGAAGTTAATTGTCAATTGTAATTCATAAATATATATACCAGCAAAAATATATTACTTATTTCAAAGTCACCATAATAACCACCAAGAATATGAGGAAAATAAGCATCAGAACAAAGGAGAGAAAAGAAGTGACTTCTAACTCAAGAATCCAAAAACAGAGGAGACATAAATACATCAGAAAAGCACATTGGTTGAGGCACTAATGATGTCCTTGAAAATACTTGTAAAACACTGAATCTGCTATAGATTGAGCTTACAATCTTGAAAAAAAAATTGAACCCGAGCATACATTTCTTATCTTCATCAAAAGAAACATTGGCATGAAGACAGATTTCAGCCAACATGGGATGGTTAGAACAGCAACTTCTCTAATCTAGTATACATCACCAACCACCAATCCTCCTAATTCCACAATAGGCTAATTTACAATTGAGAAAAGTTAAAAGGTCTGGAAGATAGTGAAAACGTCTGGAAGATAGTGAAAACTAAGAGCTGATGTTCCCATAATAAATCAATTCGCTAATCCTCCACGAATCAAAAAGAGCAAATTATACGTAAAGTGGTACACTTATGGTTTATTTTCACAACTAAGGCAGAAAATTGCGTACAGGGTATACATACCCAATCTTTCACTGGTGAATTTAGTAACACTACTTTCCCCCACATCCCAATACAAATAGTCCACAAAAGTCCCAGGCATTATTTCAAACCAAATAAACACTAAGCCAAACCAAACCAAATAAATTAAGTATAATACTTTTGGTTTGATTCAGCATCAGAGTTCTCAAATTCAACAAGTCTGTCCAATTCTCTAATGTTTTACTCCAGTAGCTGATGTCACAAGCAAACCAGACCAGTATAACTTTCAACATAATGTTTTTTCTATTCATATTCATTGGCCTGTATAAAGTCCTCCAAAGTGCAACAAATTTAGATAATATTAAATAAACTTCCTCCGTATCACTAGAACTGCAACACTTGACGTTGGCACAATATTTAATGCAACGGAAAAGAGAATGCAAAACATTTAAAGTAAAAAGTATATTTTATGGAAGATAGATAGGAGAGGAGGGAGAAAGAGTGTGCCAAGTCTGAATAAAGTAGGTGTGAAAAATAGTAAAAGTTGTCAAAAAAGGAAGTGTTGCAATTATTTTGAAACATCTCAAATAGGCAAGTGTTGCATTTTAGTGATGGAAGAAGTAATAGCTCAAATATGCAAGACCCCTAATCTAGAGCGAAAAATCGTGGATGCTCAGTTTCCATCACAATATGAAAAAATGGAGAGGGCAACCAGTACACCAAGGTCACCAACATACCTAAACAATCCTCATGTGAGAGTGGAGTGGTCATCTAAATCCTGATTTGTGACAGAGAAATCTAGAAGGATGAACTTTGTCACACTAGCCTAACTCCAAAGGGTAATTCCATACCACAAAAAACCCTCCCTCTTTTCATTGTATATTTGTACCCAGTGTAGCAGGAAACTTCCTCCTGTTTATAGTGTTAAGGTAATATTTTGCAGTTATCTAGTTTAGAATTTAGGATGATAAAGAAAGCGCCATTAACTACAACAGACTTATATCCTGCAAACAATGCTCAAGATCTAACAAACAAGTGAAAAGGGATAAATTAATTGAGCCCATTTTAAGTACATCTGCTTCATTACCACACTACATCTCACCCATCCCATTAGTTTTCGAGGGCGGTTTTTATCCAAAACATGATCACCAAATCACGATTATCAAGTACAGGGAAAAAACTACCAAAATTACTGAAACACCTTACTATGAAATCCCTCTACTCCATACAATAGCACAATTTTGCACAGAATAAGATCAACAATGAAACTTTCCTAACAAGTACCAACCTACCAAATTGCAGCAATCAATCTACAAAAACATATACCCAACAATTCGCATCAACTCAAACAAACAATTCCACCAAAAATTCATTTCTATCAAAAAATTCAAAATCCCCAGATTGCATCATAGCAAAAATAAGCAAATACCCAGAAATCATCAGCTCAAAACCAACCAAATTAAACCCACCCTGAAAATCATTCGAATTTCGCATCAAAAAATACCCCATAACCACAATATACAAGAGAGAAACAAAATTAAAATAAAAACCTCGGCAATCGGGAAGAAGCTTGATGAACCAAGCATGAAGTTTAACCCCGTCAGAAGATCTGAGCCAAACATCTTCATAAAGAAGACGCAAACGAGCAGGAGTAATGGGGTAAGACTTGGTAAGACCAGGCAACACAGGAACATAAACAAGTCGCTCCTGAAACGCAACCAACAACGCCATTCCAGCAACAACTATCCCTCCTACTCCGTAGAGTAACGCGTTAATGTACGACACCATTGTTGAAGGTGGATTTTCTCTCTCCTCTGCAAAAATACTGTGAGTTCTTCAATCAACTGTTAAAAATGGAAGAAGAAGAAGATAAAGGGTGTGAAATTTTGTTTGGTTACCTGGTATTTGTTGTTGAGGACTCACGCACTACACTGCCGGAGCTGTAAAGTCGTGCTTTGGCGTTCTGGATTAACCAATTTTAAAAAGCCACGTTTGAGCTTTATGTTCTCTTTTTTTAAAAAGAAAAAATAATTCAATCCGATATAATCCGAATTTTCAAGTAATCGTATTTATTTTGAATGAAAATGCTAAATGAGTAAAGTCGTTGTGGGTTGTGAGATGTGATTTTTATGTGTAAAGGTAATAATATTGTGATTTTAGGTGATGTTCAATGGAGAATAACTTAGTCATATATTTTAATTTTATGATAAATGACCAACTTGTTTTGTGGTAGAATTAGAATGTTCTTTCATTAGAGGTAAGGTATATTTTACTTGAAAGTTATTAGGGATAGTGATATGGTTTTATATGTAAGGGTAGTGACGTGATTTCAGGTGGTGTTCAATGGAGAACAAGTTAGTCATATTGTGTAACTCACTTTATTTTTGTGTTGAATGACTAACTAGTTTCGTGGTTGAATTATTATGGTCTTTGATTAGATGTTAGGTTTATTTTACTTGGAAGTTGTTAAGGATAGTGACATGGTTTTATATGTAAGGGTAGTGACGTGATTTCAGGTGGTATTCAATGGAGAACAAGTTAGTCATATAGTGTAACTCATTTATTTTTATGCTAAGGACTAATTTGTTTCGTGGTTGAATTAGAATGGTCATTGATTAGAGATTAGATATATTTTACTTAGAAGTTTTTAAGGATAGTGACGTGGTTTTATAAATAAGGATAGTGACGTAATTTTAGGTAGTGTTGAATGGAGAACAAGTTAGTCAAATAATGTAACTTTTTATTATCACATGAGACATAGAGGTAGGGTTGTTTAAAACATTTGACTAATTTATCTCAATTATAGTTGATCTACTTTGTATTTTGTACTTTGAATTTTTTTTTTTTTGGGTTTTAAGTTTATTATTTATTAAAGGAATTAAAATACAAAATGAATTAAGCAACAATTGAGCCCAGGAAAAAACATAGCATAGCACAGCTCCATAATTTTTGTTAATTGCTTGAGATTTTGATGGGAAAGTCCTATTTAAGGAAACGAGAAGGGTAAGAGCTTGGTGGTCTGCTAAAATTGTGGAGGATAATAAAAAATTATTGCAATGACCATAACACTTGGAATGATGCGTGTTGTCAAAAGTTGTAGTCTTCTTCATCGACCTAGATGATGTGCTCATATATATATTATCAATGTGTACTAATTTTATTCTAATATGACCCAAAACTTGTCACTATTGTTGGCGGTTTTCCGTTAAAATCTGTGTGGCTATTGGCATAGTGATGTTGTTGGCCTACACTTTCTTGCTTTCTAGTTTTCAAACCCACATCAACATCATCACTAGATCACTACACAATTTTTGGGTCTTTGTTCTTTTGTACTCGATTTCCCTCTTAATTGGTCTAAGTTCTAATGTATTTTCAAATATATAATTCTTTATTTCTATGTATGAAATAATTGGAAATTTATATGAGTGTTAAATTTAGAAAGAAGATACTATTGAAGATTAAAAATAACCAATTTGAGAAATCACTTAATCAATATCGATTTTGACCGGTTATTTATAGAAACTAATGTATGAATTGTGAAGTGTCAAATTTGCAAGAGAAATATAGTCAATAAGTTGGAGTTCTCTTGTTCTTCATTTTTTGTACATACCTTTTTCTTTCTCCTTTTAATGCCCTGCCCCAACTACGGGTCTGTCTTTTGCTAACAACTTTTATTAGTATCTCTCACTTGCTTTTGTTTTCTTCGAAGTAAATTGGCAAATATGCTTTATGCTTGGGTAGGGGAATTGTTTCCTACTCGATACTCAGGTATTCGCATAAAATTATTCGAAAAACTCAAAGATCTTTCTTCATTCATAACCATTTAAAGATTGATATAAGAAAAATGATGTTACTTCATATTTTTCTATACTCATATTTGAAAACTTACTCCATAGCACATTTTGTCTTGCAAACGAGTTAATCTTAATACAATCATGTATATCATCTCGCATGATACGATCGTGATGTACTCGTTTTCCGTCACCGTAAATGTGCAATTTTACACTCTTGCCGTTCTACAAATCCCTTGGACCTTGGAGAAGGGCAGTTAAGTACAACAACGTTTTAGAGGGACTCAAATCAAAAATTTTGCACTCACCTCACATTCTTAGCTTCAATGGATTCCTTGTTCGCAACCTATGCTTCTTCAGACGAAGAAGAAGACCAACAAAAACCACAACCTTCTTCAAAACCTTCTCTTTCTCTCTTCTCTTCTCTTCCCAAACCCCAATCTTCTGCATCATCATCTTCTTCTTCTCTCTCTACTCCCAAATCTTCCTCTCAAATCGAAAAACAAGCCCCAAATCAAGAATCTTCAACCCTACCTCCAAAATCTTCTGCTCTATTCTCTTTCCTCCCACCTCCAAAATCTGAAACAACCCCTAATTTACCCCTTCCTACCCCTAATAATCCCAAAAGGGTTGTTCAATTTCGACCTCCTGTTCCAAACCCACCTTCCAATTTCGATGATGATGATGATGAGGATAAAGAAGATGAAGAGGAAAGAGAGAGAAAGAAGCAAAGACAATTGGGTCAAGATGTTTCCGTTAAATCCTTCCTTACAAGTATGCCAACCCCTAAAAATTCTGGGCAAAACTCGCTTGGTGCGCTGCCCGCTTCGTTGGGGTCGGGTCGTCGGTCTATTGTCGAAACCGAGGGACCGACATCGGTCCCGGGGAGTTCGGAGGTTAATGGGGTGAATTCTGAAGTGGGTTTTGATCCTAATGTTGGTAGTAATCAGCAGAATTTGGTGGGGGAGTCTTATAATTATAGTTATGAAGTGGGCGTTGCAGGGGATCAAAGTCAAGGGTATGCTAATTATGATGCTTATGGAGGTAGTTCAAGTGATTATAATAGTGGTTATCAGGGTTATGATAGCAGTAATTGGTATAATGGTGCCTCAGCTGAGGAGATGGCTTCGACAATGCCGGTCAGTGGGGTTGATAGCTTTGCTAGTTTGGGTGGGAGGAGAAGAAAGGATCAACCACCAGCTGAAATTATTGAGGTGAAGCAGGATGAATTGATGAAGAACCGCCCAACTGAGGATAAATCTAAGCTTACTGGAATACCATTTGGACCTTCTTATCAGGTATATCATATATTTTATAACCCTGTGTACTTTAGATTTTGCAATTTGATTGTTATTTCTTGATTGTTGGCTTGCTGCTTATGTTATTAGTTCCTTAATTGGTGAATTGTGATTGTAACTGTGTGTTTATTGGGTTGAAAGTTGATTGCTTTGGGAGTTCAGAGTCCTTCACTATACATATGGGATGCTGCAGAAAGTATGAAGTCCTTTTGTGTGCTTGTTGTGCTCATTGCTTTTACCGGACCTGGTTCAATTGTATGAATCATGTGTACCTCGTCTTGGAGCTTTTGCGGTTACCCTGGAGCTGCAAAGCTGTATGTTGTGATTGTTCATGAGCTATTAGTTGTTGGACTTATTAGTTATTACCAATTCACTGTTGTTGATTGTATCACAAAGCCCAAAGATGCTTGCTTTTCATTTGCTAGATGCCTGCTTGTCCCGCATATTAAGTTTAAGGTTCATGGGCCATTTTGAGGGTGTTACTTTTTCTTAGCATGCTATGTTGGGGTGTGCTAGTTCTGGAGATTTGCTACTGCCTTATGGCATAGGTTAGGACCCTTTTACTGTTGCTAGTCAATTTGTAGAGAAAATTGAAGAAAAAATGTCTTATATTAGGGATACATTAACTTAATATCATGCTATGATGCTACCTATACCTTCTTTTTACCTTAGGCTGGTCAAAAGAGAGAATGTTTACTTAGACTTTTGAAGGCTTTCTACTGTGGGTTGTAGGTTGGGACTTGCAGATTATAGAGGAAATTAAAATATATGGTATTCTTGTTTTCATGGATTTTGGAGAGTGTTTGATGGGCTAGAGTCTAGTGATTCAGAAGATTGGAATTATTTTCATATAAGGAGGTGGTTGAGACCTTCGGATGCTAAAAAGATTCATGTTTTTATGGTCTGAGGAAATTCTTTTCTAACATAAAGTATATAGTCAACTTTGGTCTAGATGCAGGCTTCTTCTGTAGTAATCTTTTATGTTTGAAATCATGTCAGTAGCCAAAAATGGGGAACTAATCCTGGTCATTGTGGAGAAAAATGTTGAAGTAATTTCATCAAATTGATACGCAGAGAAAAACACGATGAATTTGAGGTTGAGCAAAGTGGATATTTGAAGGGTGAACTTGCTTCATACACTATGAATACCATTTGCTTGGCATTTGTAGTTCCTCTTTTTTTTTTTTTTTTTTTTTTTTGGATCTTCTTTTTGTTTGAGGAAAAAAGGGGGGGGGGGGTAGGAAGGGGTGAGTTTGGGTGGAAATTAAAAATATTTCCCTAGGAATTGCAACTATGTTCATGTAATTGATGTCTGATGGTTTGGATGAGAATTAAGAAATATATGACTGAATTATGCATCTAAGGATGGTTGAGCATTGGACGAAATATCAATAAATTTCTCTAAGTCTCTCTGATATTGATGTTTTTGTTAGTAATATCTCTCCTATCCACTTCATTGGAGTGCAATATCCACTAATCTTGACTTTTAACTTAAAACAGTTCAAAATTCCATGGACTCTCGTATATACTTTTCGGTAGTGTATGATAGTAGTTATGTCTTTATGTGTTTGAGGTCAATAGCCTCTCGTTGCATGCAAGTGATGCAACTCTCTTTCCAACTTGGTCCATGACTTAATCTTCAGATCAATTTAATTGTATTGATAGTGAGTGAACATTTTGTGTTACATATTGACCTTTGTTTGGGATTGTGGAGTTTTTGGTTACACTGCGAACGTATTTTAGTTTGTATGGTTAAAGTATAAGTACTGCTACTTGACCTTGTTGTATATCAATCTTTACGCCGTGCTATTAACTATGGATCATGCTTATCTAATCCTCTCTAGTCATCTAAATCTAAATTTGAACTATAAAATGTTTGAAGGGCTGTGTGATTGACTCTAGGAAAACAAAAAGGTAATCTAGCAAGGAAATTGACTGGTTATGTAAAGAATGGGATGCTCTTACAACTCACTCTCTTTCTTAGGGCTTAATTTCAAATCGGATATCTAATCTGATATTAATTTCGGATCGGATATCTGATTTGATGATTTCAGATCAAATATTCGATCCGTAAATTTTGGAAATCGGATACCTATTCGGATATCAATTTTTATATATTCGATATCTGAAAAATATCCGAAATATTTTGGATTTTGGATAACGGATATCCGATCCAAATAACCCAATTTCAGATATCATATAACGGATTTCCGATCCAAATATCCAAAACTTTGGGTATTATTTTATATTTTCTTTAAAAAAATTAAAAATTAAAAATTATTTATAATATTTCGGATATTGGATGTCCGGTATATCCGATCTGAATGTCCGGTATATCCGATCCGAAATTTTTTTCGGATCGGATCCGGATATCAGATGTCCTAAATCTTGGATATCGGATATCCGATACAAAATCCATTTTGGATCGAATATTCGGTCCGTGCTCACCCTGACTCTCTCTCTGCCACTGCAATTCCTTCTCCCCTCTCATCTATCATCGCTATTAAGATTTAATGGCACTGTAATAGACCGTGCAGGCACCATCTCCCCTTTTCACCTAAGTTGGTGTTATTGTCCTCTTCTTTCACCATCAATGTAGCTGTAGGTTTGTAGTCATAAATGCTGAAGTTTATTGTGGCCTGTTGAAGGTCAATTACGACAACTGGGGCCTCAAATCTGGAGCCTCCATGGTTGGATTTGTGGCCTGTCGAAGGTTAATTATGACAACTGAGGCCTCGAATCTGGAGCCTCCATGGTTGCATTTGAATACCAAAGTCCAAAGCTAATGAGATAGACTCGTATCTTCTAACCTTTCACGTTTGTATGTTTTTATGGAAGCTTATATTTAGGTCTACTCTCTCTGCTCTTTCTATTTTGGTTTGGAGGTAGCTGAGTGAATTTTTTTTGGCACTGGAGACATGTGTTGTGATTCTGGCTTGAGAGGGATTAAGGTTGTGGCTGTTATTGGTGTGAGAGGGAAAGACCTTGATGTGAAGTTGATGGGGAGAAGAAGGGGGGGGGGGGGGTTGGTTCAGCAGCGTTGCACTGAGAGGGGGAGTGGAGGTGATAGTATTGGGTGGACACATCATGGTGGATGGAGGGTGTGGCAGTGCTTATTGAGGAAGGAAAAAGATAATAAATGTGGTACAAGATTGGGGTGAGATGTGAAAGATCCCATAGTAGTGAAATGAAGTTCCCAAGGGCGTCAGGGAAGATGGATTATGCCCATTATGGGTAATTCTATTGAGGAGAAATGAGAATAGGGAATGATGACGATGGAATCAAATATGGATGAAGGGAACTAAGCGCTATATTTCCCCCATTAATTGTTATTGTGCTGATTGTATGATTTAATTGGGTAGCGTAAGTGGTGGTGTTGTGGGGGAAGAGGTCATTTATTGAAATAGCCTTCTTTTGTACCTCATTATATTTTTTCTGATTTGAGGTCTTATATGTTTATTATTTCTCTATGAAATTTGTCCAATTTTGACACGTGTATAGAGGAACTTAGCGTGTACTTTTCCTGTGGTCATTGATCTGCTGGTATTGGGCTGAATTCATATGGATCCATGCACGTAGTATGCATGGTTATATATTTATAATAGCAGTATGACTACAAAAGAGAGAGGGGGGGGGGGGGGGGGGCGATTGGGGATCCGGGTGAGTACATGCATCTCCATGCTTGCTGCAGTATGTGCATCTCCATTTTTTACTAGTTGTAGAATTGTTAAGAAGATCTTCACAGTATCTACAGTTGGTTAAATAGTGTTTTATTTTTTTTGGGGTTGGGGGGGGGGGGGGGGGGGGGCATCAATTCACCATGTAATCTGTAAACCATCTGAACCACTATACCTATGGTAAGTCCACCTATTCTGGCATCAGTTTACTAGTATGCCTATAAGGCTATAAATACCGGCTGACTATACTGCTTCAACCTGATTCTTTACACTCATATTTAATCCCTTAAAAGAGACTTTTTGTACTATGCCTCTTCTGATAATTTAACCTTTTTTTTTTTTTTTTTTTTTTTTTTTTGTGGTTATGTGTGCCTTAACCTCTTATTGTTTAGTTCTATCATGTTATAAGTATGTTTCTGTTACTTAGAATAAATACATTGATTTACTTCTATGAGTTCTATCAGTAAACACATATGTTTCACAAGGGTGTTTGGTTAATTTTGCAATAATTCTTAAATTATGGGCAGGAAGCCTAAATGAATTGATAGGAACAGTTGCAGCATTCGTTTTCTTTTGATACCTAGGAAAGAATTAATCTTGCAGGGAGGACATCTTCTTGTTCATCCTCTCCATTCTCTTCTATACCAAAACTGCAAGGTTGTGTTGCTTGCTAACCTTTTCAAGAGTTTCAACTCATTAATGCAGTTTATAACACACATGCTGACAAATAACTAACAAGCAGTGAGTAGGGAAGGTATTGTAATGCTATGAATAACTAGTATAATATAGAAGATGAGGCCAAAATTGGTCTATGAAAGTAGATGAGAGGAAAATTGGGACTTTGATGATCTCAATACTGGATTTTCTGTTAGTGTTCTTGTTGATGTTATTATTTATACTTGCCTGATATACCTCTGTACTGCTTGGCTGTTAGTTATGTGCTAAATATGGTTTTGATTTTTTTTTTTTTTGTTTTTTCTGTAGCCGGCTTCAACTAAGGGGAAACCATCTAAGCAGCACAAACGAAAGCATCAAATTAGTGCTTTGTACTTTGATATGAAGCAAAAGGAAATGGAACTTTCAGAACGGCGTGCTAAAGGGTTTCTCACTAAAGCGGAAACACAAGCAAAATATGGATGGTGAAATGGTCTTCTAGTAAGCTTGTAACTACCCTACCCGGTCATGTTTATCCTGGCGATTATACCATATTGTTCTTTTGTAATTGCAAGTGCATATTGTGAAAGTTGAAATCTTGAGAAGTAAAATTTGAGCTTTCTGATGACATGAGATCTTTCCAATCTTGGGGACATATTACGAGTATGTTCAGTTCCCATACTGTAACAATTCTTTACTGTGTACGTGCCTTTCAAATTATTTATATGAAGTTGTTAGGAAGCGGAACATATGGAGTTCCACTTTGAATTCATATCTTGTCTAATTTCATCAATGAGTTCCGAATTCTGATTGCTCTCAGCCCTTCACTCTCAATGACACAGAGTTCTGGGAGATGGAGAAGTTGATTATGATCCATCTAATACTGGTTTACATGGTTGCGCTGTTGGATCAGTATTGTAACATTTGTAAGTAGAAATTATAATTAGAGGCCTTGTGTAATGTTGTCCTTTTCCTGATCTAAAACATGATTGAAAAAATTCATCTACGTTAAAAAGAATCATTGAAAATAAAATTCACAATCTTTTCTTTTTTTGGCCAAGTTTAGACCAAAAATGGAAAATATAGCTTCCTATAACTTTCACTTTTGTTATCATGATTGTCTTTCGTAGCAAATTGGATATACATTCCATGCAATTGCACAATTACACTCTAATAGAGTATGTGCACCGAATCCAAATAAATTAGACTTCGTAGGTTTTAAACTTTTATTAATAAAAATTTCAAGAACAAAGTGACGAGGCGATTTTTCAATTCTCTAGTTTTTAATAAAGTGAATGTAGGATTTATACTTAATCATATGGTTTGACTATGTGAGTGTCAGTGTGACTGTGAAATTAAACTTTCAAGAAAGAACTGCTAATAGTGTTAGCAGTTTTACCATGAACCGTGATATTTTTTTTGTACTATTTATGGTCGAACTGCTAACATCATTAGAGGTTCTACTATGAACAGTATAAAAAAAACACTATTTATGGTAGAACCGCTAATGGTGTTAGCGGTTTTACCATGAACAATGCTTTTTTTTTTTATTTAATTACAAATTTGCCATTTGATAAACAATTGTTCAAGGTGATAAATCGAGCAAACCTCTTAATTAATGTAAATTAACTATTACTCTCTTAATTTCTTTTGTACTTCGTATTGTTCAATATGAAATTTATATACTAGTACTATATGTTAACGAAGAAGAAATTTAATCGAGTACTATATTATTTTGACAAATGTATTATGAAAAACGTACCTATGTAATAATCTCTATGAGTAGGTCATTATATCAACTTCTTACTTAATATCCGGATTAGAAATGAAATCTATTATTATCTTGACAAAAACATATAAGGAAAAATAAACTCATGTAATTTTATAATTAGTCTCACTGTGTAGTATCAGAATAATCACCCTTAATTAAACATAAATATATAGTACTCAAAATCATTAAAATCACAGTGTATAAATTATACTCAAAGTATAGTACTATAAAGTTATTTCATAGCATATAAATTGTCAATTACACATCCAAAATTTCATTCTAAAATAAAATTATGATTACACTTTATATATTATTTTTACATAGCACATATATTGTACACATAGTATCATTGTATCACACATATGTTGCATGTACACAAACACTGATTTAATATATATATAAGTAAAGTTACCCTAGATTTTTTACAAATAAGAATATAAAATAACTCTTTTACCATGTAAAATTCTTTTTACCCAAAATCAAATTTAAAGTTGCCACAAATTGATTATAATCTAACTGACGATTGGACAATTGTATGGTAAGATATACAAAGTGCACTGTAAAAGTTGTTTAAACAAAAAAAAAAAAAAAAAAAAAAAAAAAATCTACCTGTCAAAAAATGAAAAACAACAAACGAAGGACAATTTCAACATTTATAATTATTTAAATAAGATTGCCTTGCTAATCGGAGGGAATACTAGAATAGTTTGCTGAACAATATTACAAAATACCGAATTGATGTCCAAATAATATCGATACCAAGTTTTAACAAACTTTGACACTAGGATGTCAAAAGATCATCCATATCAAATATTTTGGACACTTATCGAAACTTTTAAATATACAGCAGAATCATTCATAGAATACGAAATCAATGCCAGAAGGCTAATACAAGCAAGAATAATATGAAGTTCTTAAAAGCCAAGGATGAGTTGCCTGGTCACGATGTGTTAGTTGCTCCTTCCAATTTCACCGGACCACGGGAGCTTGATGCTGGTTCGGGTTGTTTATAAACCCTCCATTGTGTTGCATGGCTCCACCTGTATGTGAAGAAGAGATGCCTAAGAATCCACCGTCTTGTTGCTGGTAAAAAGAATTGCCATTGGTGGAGATGCTTGAGGTACCTGTTGCCATGCATTGTGATTGATGGGATTCAAACACCATGTTATTATATGCATTCGAGCCAGAGATTGAATGGTTCCCATTTGTAGAGGTTGAGTCGGATTGTTGATGCTTCTTTGTACTAAGGAAACGACCACCTGATCCTCTTACCCTATTCAAGGCATGAAGATGCCTTGATTCATGAAGATAAGGCTGCCAAAACAATGAAAAGCATTATTAGATTGTTTACTTATTTAACTAATAATCATATATACTACTTTATAATGTCCGTTAATAGTTATCATGTTATTAAAATAATACGAAGTATATCATAGTTGATCATGTTTGGATTAATAAGCCCGTAAGTAATAGGAAGGTGATAAAAAATCAACATCTATTCCTAATTTTTTGATAGGAAGAAATCCATTAGATTAATTAATTACATCCGTATATGTCAATAAGAACATAACAAGTGGTAAGCACAATTACTAATAATCTATTATGTGAGTGTTTATATATTGTATCTATTGACATAACCACAAGCCATTGCTATTAATCCATTGTGAAGAATAACGTGTGAACATGGATAGAAAATTCAAGAGAGCTGGGAGAAACGTCTTACCTTTCGAGCTTTGATGAGCTTGTTTTGGGCCTCCATCTTTGCTCTTGATTGCCGCCTTCTTAGAATGCCATGATATTGCTTGGCATTGACAAATATCGGTTCATCTTCAGATATATCAAGAGGTAATGGGACTCTCGTAGTTGTCATGCCCATCATATGGGGATGAATCTAGTCAATCCAAGGTAAAGAAAAGATTTAGTTCTCGAGTTACAATTCTGTAGAGAGAATATTAAGTTTAACCCAAGTGTAAATTGATACCGAACATCAGAATATGGCATAATGTCATAATCTATACATAATAATTAATCAATTGACAGTAGAAATCCCAGGTAGTAACAAATACGGGAGTTTTTATTTCCATAAATTTCAAGGAGTTGATGTATTTAATAAACAATTTTTGGTACTTCCAATCCCTCGGAATTATAACTTTATAGAAAGAGATACGACTAACCAAACTAACATAAGTTACACATTGAAAAACTCTCCTCGTCGAAGTGTCCAAACTTTAGGTAATCTAATTAAACACCATTAAAAGGGAGTCAATTGACCGAGTTGAGTATTTGACTCCACTAAACTCTATCAAAAAATTTTAAAAAAGAAAATTGTAGCAAACCAGTTCAATTTTAAAATAACAACTTACAATTGAATTACTTAAATATAAGGAATGCAATGTGATAATTTGTAGTAATTTATAAATTGAAGCACGCATACACGTGTTTCGATATATAAACATATGCAATATATGTGCAATATATATGTAATATAAAACTTAGTTTTAATATACTTATCAGCACACACCAATAAAGATTTGACCCTCGCCGCTACTAAATATACACATCCATGCATAAAATTGGAGACATTACGTATAATTATGAAAACAAGCACAAAATAGCATGAAAATACAATTATAATGAAAATTTAGAGAAACTTACAATGGGTGTTGTCCCATATGTATTCATTATCTCATTGTAATAGGGATCACCATAAGGATATGGCATGCATCCCTACCAAAAGGAAGAGAGTTCTCTCAGCATCTTTCAATCATAAAAAAATAAATAAGATGAAAACAAAAACAACAGTTATTGCTAACCATTGCACGGTTGTAATCCATTTGACCAATATTAAAATCAGCTTCTGGATGACCCATTAGATACATTGGTTTCATTTGACCAAGGTTCTTGCCACAATTGACTTCTTGACCTAGAAAAAAAAAATGAAAAACGAATAATACACTTGGAAGATTGACACACCATTAGACAAACATACAAAAAGAGACACGATTAAGACACCACTCGACAAACATCCAAAAAGACACACAGAGTGCTAATTAGGATATGAGATATATTTTGCACAAGCATCACTTGTACTACTTCATTACTAAATATGCAAATCGCCATAAATTCATCACCACCATAACCCCCAGCAATAAAAGAGAAAGAAAAAAGGGATAAAAACAACGAATACAAAGGAAGGGATGAAAACAAAAAAGAATACCAGATTCAGATGACATGCATTGGTCCTGAGAATTGGTTCCAGTATTAGTAGTCATATCATGGTTTGACTGAGTTGATTGACTTGAAGGTGAGTCTTGATCTTGCAAATGAAAGCCTAATGACCTAGCATTGAGATGAAGTTGAGGTGGGGAATCCATTTTCAAGCTCAAGCCCTTCGATAAAGATTCGGAAATTCTCTGGTCATCTGAATTCCAATGTGGAGGATAATTGATAAATAAATTGGACATTTGGATAAACTAGAACGCAACCAAAGCAGATTCTGAGTGTAGTAGATTAGACCTGCAAAAGCGGGCAAACTATCAAATAATCAACATTAAATATACAAATCAGTTTGTCACATAAGATGTTTTGTTTAAGATTCGACATCAAAGCCTTCCTCCTTTTTCCACAATTCAATCCGTGACAAATAAATGATAATAAGCCCTTGTCAATAAACCCTTCTTATTATAAATTTTTTCATACAAAAATATCTTGAAAATTGAACTGAACGACAATTATCCGATTAAGTCAATAAATGTAAACCCGAAACGTGTTAAAGAACCGCGAAAAAAAAAACACATGCTGCATATTGTATTAGAATCGTAGATGTGAATTTTACTCTCAATGCAGGTTGTATGTAGCTTTTAAATGACAAGCATATACTTTCCAGAATATTTTCCGTTAAGAAGTTGAAAGTAATGATTATAGTAAGAATAGTTGAGTAGGGAACAACACTATTAATTAACATAAATCTATAAAATTAACAATTGTGATAGCCATAGTTTATAATAATAGTTCTGGCAAGTAGTAATCTTAATAGTGGTAAATTACACTAGTAGGGTGCAAAATATTCACACAATTTTAGAAATCTTTTTATATGTAATCAAGCAAGCTTGCAAATATCATTACCATATGCTAGCATGTGTATGATATGCGTACAACATATGTGCAATGTAAGAATAATATACAAAATATAATCATAAATATGTGTCGTATATTAGAATGACATTTGGATTTGTAATTGACAATTTATAAGCTATGAAATAAAATTATAGTGCTATACTTGAGTTTAATATATTTAAGAACTTGATAAAACATAAAAGTATGTCTATGGTGCAAAATCCGATAAAGAAAACCTTAAATATTTAAGGACAACAAATAGTTAAAAAAAAACACCCACATATACATACAAACACATTTGAAGGAAATCCAAAGAAAACAAAAAAAATCCATTCCTAGGTATTTTGTCAACTGTCTCCACACCGCTTCATCTCCAATATAGAAGAGTAATATGGTGTTTCACTAATTGAATACACCTCACTTCCCTAAAACTCATCCAGTTGCTTCACTCCTAGCTACGTACAAGGATACAAATGGCTTATCCATGTCAGCATAAGAGCATCTTCGATAGGGGGCTTATGAGGAGAGAGGATTGCCAAATATAACATATCATGGGATAAGTATTCAAAGCAAGAGCAACTAGCAAAATTGAGAACATCTTTCAAATGATTTCATTCTGAAATTAAATGAAAATTATCTTTTCAAATAAGACACATTGGAGCCACAAAACAAGTCTCCAAAAAGTATACGTACATTGGGTCTCACCATTGGAGATAAAGGTTTTTGACACCCCAATATAGTTACTAACCCATGGTGATGATCTAATCGAGCTTCTTAGTTATTTTTTTTGAAATTGCTACCCACCTATTGTAGGTGGGTAATGGAGCTTCTTAGTTTTACATTAAGCAATTAAGAATGAAAATCGTACAAGTATGAAAGTTGTTTTCTGTCTAAAATCCAAATTTAACGAAATTGTTTTCAAGTAAATGAAGGTAACAACATACACAGCAGAACAAATAAAAACAGAAACAGTTAGATGTCGATTTCACACCACAAGCAAGTTCATTAACGAACTGCATGCACACAAGATTGACCAAATCAACAAGGCTGCCCTTCAGTCGAATTGAACCAAAACAGATTCAAGAATTAAAATCATACTCCTAGATATCGACACACATCTCGATAATTCAGATAACTTGTACAACCAAAAATTTTATACCCTAAAAATAGTAATTGTGTAAACACATCAACTTCAAACGCAACAGCTGTCAGAAGAGCAGAACTGGCTCATGTGGTTCAGGGTCATAAACTGAGGTAGTAAGAGTAACGACTTTGTGTACAACTCTACACATGTATCATATAAATCTGCAATTTCGCATCCAAACATATACTTTTTTTCTTAATTACGAAGTATTAACCAATCCAGAAAAATGAATGTGAAAGGAGCTTACAACAAGTGCGCATAAAACAAACATGCACACCGAGCTAAAATTACACACAAATCCATTACCATTACGGAACTACAAGAAGTACAACAATAGAAGGACATGACCATTCAACAATATTTACCTGAAAAGAAAACAAAAACACGAGCACGAACACGAACACGAACACGAGCAAGGTTCGGTCTCCCAACACTCAACTAGCTGCAAGTTAATTAAGTACAACAATTATCAGCCAAATGAAAGCTAAGCATACTACAATGTTTAAGAAATTTGCATGCAAATGATCCAATAACAAGAGCATGATTATATATAACAATATAAACCAAAAAAAACATAAAATAACTCAAAGATATGAATTTTCTTCCCTACCAAAACTGGTAAGAAGATAGTAAAGAAGGTAGAGCTAATGAAATCCAAGGTACCAAAAAAAAGAACAGTCCGTACAGAAATAAGCCCAATCATATTATACCATAAAAAGACTCTCAAAAAAAAAAGGATGACAATTGACAAAGAATCTCAACCAACCTATTGACATAAACTCAACCCCCTATGACTTTGGAAGAAAATAATGATCAAACCCCAAAAATAGATTAAAAAAAAAATTACAACAAACTTATACCATAATTGGGAAAAAATTAAATTGTATTATTAATTATTATAAATAAAAGGGGTAAAAAAATATGAAAAAAAACTAACCCCCAAAAAGCAACAATCCAAATAATCAACACCTAATAAGGAAATTTCTAGAAAAGAAAACCCACCAATAGTAGAGAAACACATAACAGTCACAAAACAACAAGATTTTTTTTTAATTTTTTGTTTTACCATAAAAGAAAACTTTCCCTTTTCTTCCTTCTTCTTCAATAACAGAAATTATAACAGAAATGATCCCAAATAAACCCACATGCAGTAAAAATACAAACACCATAAAAATTTCATACCCAAGAAATTATAACAGATACCCAGATGACAAAATGGGTGAAATTTAAACAATTTCAGTCAATAAAAGTAAAAAAAGAAATAAAAATTTAATCTTGCTAAAAAAAAGTTAAAAAAAGAAAAGAAAGGAAGGACCTTTGGGATCTGAAGAAGGAAGCAAAGAATAGAGGTGCTGGGTTCAAGTTGGGCATGTTTCCCCCCTTGAAACCCCCAATCCCATCTCTTTCTCTCTCCAACTTTCTCTCCCTACAATTTTTTTTTTTTTTTTTTTTTTTTGGGGGGTTATTTTTTTTAATTTAAATTTCTCTCTCTGAATTCTATTGGAGTTTGTTTAGCTAGGAAAAGAGGAAAGACTAGTTAGAGAGACTTAGAGTAGTGACCCTCATAAATGATAGTGCCCCAATTACCAACTGATCATCAAACTATACTACACTAACTACTTTAAATAAATTAATTAATCATAATAAATAATATTATAAATTTTCAGTATAAAAGAGAAAATGGGTGAATGTGACAGTAATAACAAGGAGGAGGAGCAGAATAGTAAAGCAAAAGAGGGGGACTGATGAGTGATGACTGTGACATAGACAGTGGTGCATTTTATAATTTTCAGTATAAAAATAAATTAAAATAATTATCTTTATTTGGAGTTTGTCGTTTCCCAAGAAAATGTAATTTACTCCGTATAACGTCTTTTTCTGAATCATCAAATGTCGCGCCATTTGTTACTGTTGTCGTCATTACTCATTCTTATCTTAAGTTTTTGGTTAATGGTGACTTTTTAACCATTTTCAAATCATTTTCCCATGTTTTTTTTTATTGAAAAAGGGAGAAAATTAAGAAAAAATATCTTCTTCTACTGTGTAAACTTAATACTATTCTCAAATATCATGAAAAATCTTGTTTCTTCAATTTTTTTTTTTTTTTTTTTGAAACATTTCTTCTATGTAAAATTATTACTATTATGAAAAAATAATCTTCTACAACTTCTTCTATTCCCGAAATAGTTATATTAGGTGGTTTTTCACGGTTTATAAAGAATGAGTAGAATCTTTCAAAAAAAAAAAAAGGAATGAGTAAAAAATAATGATTAGATTTCACATTTACTTCCTCCTTTTTTAAGTTGACACTCTTTGAATTTTGTACTGTTCATAAAATGCACTTTGACTAAATTTTGTGAGTCATAGCTATGATAAACCATAGTCAAGTGGGATCTTGTTTGAATCGTTTTAATGTAAAATTTATTAACATCCGCTTTTCATAATTTTACAATATTGATACGGAGTAATTAAATATTAATCGTTAGAATTGTTTGTTGGCAAGCGTGAAAAAAAACGTGTAAGCTAAAAAAACGGAGGTAGTATCAAGTATTAATGCATTAAATTAACTTTGAAAATAGTATATATGTATTAGTTGGTAAATATTTTGTAAATAGGAATAGTTGCATTGGAAAATGGTAACGGGGATAGTTGCAAAAAAAAGTACACCCTACGTCCCTTAACTACGTGCCTATTTCTCTTTATTATGTGAGTAATAAATGTTAGAAATAGGCACATAGTTAAGGGACGGAGGGAGTATGTATGAGGGAAATGTGTAAAAAAAAAAAAAATTCAATCTACTCCGTAATAAATAATCAAAACGCAGTCATTAAAGGAGAATGTCAAAAAGGGCACACGTAAGTACGTAACACTCCGGGAGATGCTAGGAATACACTTGGTGTACGTACACCAAGCTCCTTATTGGTTGAAAGGAAATCTTGTATACCTTGATAATAATACTCTCTCCGTTTTCCAAAATTTGACTGACTTAAAGTTTTATAAGGTTTAGTTAATTTTATTGTCATTGGGATAGTTAAGGATATGAAAAATTGAAAAAAAAAAAAAAAAAAAAAAAAAAAAAAAAAAAAAAAAGATGTTAGGAATACACTTGGTGTACGAAAAAATCTTGTACACCAAGCTCCTTATTGGTTGAAAGGAAATCTTGTATACCTTGATAATAATACTCTCTCCGTTTTCCAAAATTTGACTGACTTAAAGTTTTATAAGGTTTAGTTGATTTTATTGTCATTGGGATAGTTAAGGATATGAAAAATTGAAAAAAAAAAAAAATCGAAAACAAAAAATCTAAGGAAAAATTGTATACAATAATACGACCTTTGCTCCATCCGCTAAAAATAAGTTGACCTTTTGATTTTTCCAGAATAATACCACCTTTGGGGGGTGTCTGCTTTAAACAGGATTTTTTACCTGCAACCTTAACGACCGGTTAACCTTTTGATTTTTTTTTTTGTAATTTGTAATAACTTCGTTTAACACTTTATTTAACTCTTAATTAGAACTTTAATTATGGTTAACAATTAATATGATTAAAATAAATTTTTTTAACAATTTTTTTTAACAATTTTCTAATTAATTAAATTGATTTTAATTTAAACAAAAAAAAAAAAAACAAAAGCCCCCAATAGCCCCCCACCCGTCAACAACCACCACCACAACCGGAGCGGCCCCTACCCTCACCCCCACCAATGACGAAACCCCAACACCCTTACCGTCGCTGGAAACCCTCGCCCTAACTCCCACTGTCGCCAAAAACCCCAACCAACACCCTCACCGTCGCCGAAACCCCTGAAATACCTCCACTATCGCTAAAAACCCCCCACACCAACACCCTACTGTCACAAAAAACCCTCGCCCTAGCCCTACCGTCGCCGAGAACCTCCACCCTTCCCCTCCACGAGCCTCAAACGGTCAACGTTTCAGAACGATAGGATTTTAAGGAGGGAGCAGGTGGAGATCCGGGAAGAGGGAAGGAGCTAGGTGGCTGAAACGCGCAAGGTGGTTGACGTGGCTGGGAACTTCGTCTGGCTACGCGATTGGCCGTGGCTGCTACTGGGCTTCGGTTTGGCTGCGGTGTGTCTGGTGTTTAGGGGAGGGGCGATATATAGCAGAATGTGCAAATGTTGCTATCGGGGATGCCGAGAAGGGGTCGGTCGGCGCTGGTGGATACTGATCGCCGGCCGCCGGAGTGGGGGAAGGGGGCTGCTGGTTACCTACTGGTGGGGGAAGTGGTTGGGTGGGTTTTTTTAATTAATTAATTATTATTATTATTATTATTATTTTATATTTTAAAAATTAAAATATTAAATAATTTTTTAAAAAAATCAAATTAAATTTACAAAACCAATAAAAAAATATAATACTAAAGTGATTAATATTATTAAATATCTTTTAATTATTATAAAAAAAATTAAAAAAAACAAATTAAATTGTCAACTAATAAAACATTGACACGTGTCCTACATGACCTATTAATTAGGTTACCAACAGGTAATAACCTATTTAAAGCGAACACCCCCCAAAATTCGTATTATTTTGAAATAAACAAAAGTTCAACTTGTTTTTAGCGGACGGGGTAAATGTCGTATTATTTAATGTAATTTTTCCAAAATCTAATCTAATATATGTAAAGGAAGGAGACATTTTTTTTGAGAGCATTTGGAGTGTCACATAACCAAAGACTTTATTTCAACCAATGAAAAAAGAGATTCGTATTTTATTTTAGAATTAAAAAAACCAATCGCCACATAAGCAAAACTAACAACTGAGATTTGAGAGTTATTTTTATGTGCCAGCAAAAATAAACTACACGAATAGTGATTATAATTTAAATTAAAAGAAATTATTATGTTTTCACGTCGAAGTTTTTATCTTAATAAGAATTTAAAGTATTAAAAAAACCAAAAAAAAAAAAAAAAACTTTTCACATTAATTTTTTTATTTTATAATATAAAGGGGGATTGAAAAATAAAGGGAGATTGTTTTAGGAGAACACGTCACCCACACGTGACGAGGTCAATGCCGAAAAACAAGGTCAATGCTCGAATTCCTGCATAAAGTGTATTCTCGTGAAAAAAAAAAGTAAAAGTAAAGGTGTGTTCTCGCAAAAAAAAAATAAAAAAATAAAGTGTGTTGTTACAATAAAAATAAAAAATATTATAAGGTGGTTTCTTACAAAAAAACTAAAAAAGTGTTTTATAAAGAGGTTTTTGGCAAAATTTCCAAAGAGAATAATAATGTAACATTATTTTTTTTTAATAAGGATCTTATACATAGCATAAATAAACTTTACTCCTGATTTGACCATAAGAAAAGGAAAAAATTCAACATAAGAGATTAGAGACTTACAAATAAGATGAGAAAAAGCACTATTGGTCTAGTGATGGTAGAGCATTATCTATAGTGATGTTGAATATCGAAAGCGTGCAAGGAGAAGGGAGAGAGAACAAGGTGAACGGGAAGTGGTGAAGGAGAGGAAAAAATGTGACTATAAATACAAAGAAAAGATTCATTTAGCCATAAAGGTATTCTATTAAGCCAAAAGCCCACAGTAGAAGATTTGATATGTTACAAAGACAGGAGATGTACCAAATTACATGAGAGTTTTTTTTTTGTAATTATTATTATGATTTCTTACCACTTATAACAAGGAAATAAATCTCAAATAATTGTCCATACATTGATTGTTTTTCTTGTTTAAAAGCATGAAATAATCTCTAGTCTTTGCTTTTCATACAATCTAAACACTTAAGAGACTTTTAACATTGAAAATTATGTCAAGAATAAGTCAACCGTTGCGCGGTTAGTTCAAAATAAGCCAATCTTTTGAGTAACTAAAAATAAGTTAACTTTTAATTGGTCAAATGACCTATGAACTGCCAAACAAGACATTTTCTCTTTTTTATTAGATTCAAAATAATTTATAATTTTTTTTAGAAGAAAAAACCCAACCATGTGTCAAAAAAATAAATAAAAGAAAAAACCCAACCCCCCAATTACTCAATTACAGACTAGCCCCCACCCCTACAGCACACAATCCCTTTCTTTCTCTCCCTTCCGATCGACCGTCCCTTTTCTTAGCCTCCTCTCTTAACACCGCCATTCATTGCTCGAAACCCAATTGGACCATACCACCTCGAATCCCCACCCAAACCTCCAAAATATCACCATAATATCCATTCGAAACCCACCGCCTAACCACTAAAACCCACCCCTAACCACCGAAACCTACCCTTTAACCACTGAAATCTTACCCCACACTCTGAATCAACCCAACCTGAAAAACTTTAAAAAAAAAAAAAAAAAAAAAAAGAGAGAGATGGGCGAGGAGTAGAGGCGGCAGTGGGAGAGGAGAGAGAGTCAGGGGTCAATGGGGTGAGGGGTTATCGGCGAGGGGTAAGAGTAGGGGGTTGTTCTACGGTGGGGGAATGGGATTAAAAAAAAATAGTATGAAAAATTAATCAAGCAATTAATCTTGATTAAAATTTGGAAAAATTGTAAAAAATAATACAACCTTTGGGTCTTTTTTTTTTAATAATACAATCTTTGGATTATATGTTAATATTACAACCTTTAGGGGGTTGAATTTAAACAGGCAAAAACCTGTGTAGCAAGTTACATGTGACACGTGTCGTAGCATAATTGGTTTAAATTATTAATTTTTTTTTCTAAAAAAAATTGATTAAAATTTATTTATTTTTAAAAAATAATCCCCCTCCCCCGCTAGCAG